CCCGCCCAGCCCAGCAACTCGCAACTACACGGCTTCGCCATTTGGAGGAACGAGCGCGGGTGTGAGTCGCCGGCTGAACCCACCGTAGTCGCGTAGCTGCGTATTCACGTAAGGCAACTCGAGGCCGGCCTAGCCGGACTGCCGGGACTCTTATCTAATCCCTAGGGGTCTCTACAGTCTTTAATCGCAGCTACGTGCTTCCCTGGGAGCTGCCAGAACCAAAAGCGTCCATCGCGCGCAGTTGCGGAACGTGTTTCGCAAGGAATCGCAAGGTTTCCCGTTGCCATTCGCCTCAAATTTCCATGACGCTGGTTCACGTGGTAGCCCGACACGATAAGCAAACTTTGCGCGAAGAGGCTGGCATCGCTGTTCCTCGGGGACTTGCTACTAGGGTTGAGGGCTATTCAGGGTTAGGTCACGTGGCACAATCTCAAAATTGCACTTTCTGGCTAATCGACATTCAATGCCGAATATCCTGGCCTGCAACCGATACGCAGCCCATCCAAGCAGGGAGAGGGATGGAGCGAACCCGGCATTATGTTAATACCACGGGTTTAGGGCCCATAAAACGACCAGTTAAATTGCCTATCCCGATGTAGAATAGATTAGAAACTATTTCCTCCTTTTTTTTTATATTTTTTGACGGACCTGATACACAGGCACCTATCTACCGGAGTAGCGGTCCGATGCAATAGAATATAAGCTAGGGGAAGGGTGGGCCTTTGCGTGGGGCTGCGCCCTGGCAGGCTTCACAACGAACGTGGCCTAAAGGTCCCTCGATTACTCGGCCCTCTACGTCTGATACATATTTTTATGATGTTTACCCGGAACGAGCGCACATCCGAATCGTCCTATTTGCATTTCATTACGAGTCTCGCTCTACTCTCTCTCTCTCTCTCTCTCTCCCTCTCTCTCTCTCGGAGCCACAGCTATGTTTGCCTGTCCTCAAACTTATTTCGGCTCCCCGCTGACTCCTCTCGAACCTTTAGACCCCCGAAATCCTTGCAACCCCTATGCCACCAGCCCATCCCCCTGGCCTTATCCAATACGCTATATTCCGCGCAGCGTCTCTCGCTCGCAGTAAGCTAGTCATAGGTGCTCGCTCTCTCCCTCCCACGAGTTATTGTGTTCTTCCTCGTAGACATTGGAAGCACCTGCGCTGCTATGAGACTCGCGTCTTTCCCCAGCTACGGGAAGAGACACGTCGACACTGGGAAACAGCGTCGATCGGCTACTGATTTTATAGAACCTCCCGGGATGACCTCGTCTTGCCGCGCCTCGATATCGACATCTTGTGCACCGGATGGATTCAATTTTTATTTTTATAAAATTATTTCTCCTCGCCGAGATCTTTGCGCTGCAAGACAAATAACGAGCGAGAAGGTTCGACCATCCCTAAAGTAAATAGTGAAAAAGGAATTCCCCCTCGCCGGAAAGAGAATTGCCGCTCATAAGTTTCGGCCATTTCGAAATTCTTGATTTTACAGGAACGAGTTCCCGCTGTTCCATTTTGTCCGATATTCGGATCCCGCTCGAGGGCCAATGAGCTTCTTCGTCGATGTATCAGAATTTGCATTTTCGGTGAAATTCCGTAAATGATCGTGGGTAGCGTCAGGGTTGTAGTTCAGGGTTGTATTGCTCGGGAAGTCAGAGTCAATGTTACACTTCCCGTTAAAGCCTTTCCAGAGCATAATTTAAAGCCTTAATAGTATTACTACTGGAGAATCTAATCTCCTGACATTCGAGAGTAGGTACCTCTAGGATTGGCAGTACCCACCCGCCCGACAAAGGCTTAAATCTCAACGTTAAACGCTCTATTTTACAGCCCGACCGTACCACTTGCACCACTTGCACCACTTGCACCGCTGTGCAACGGTCTTAAACCGTAATTGCTATCGAATTGTAGAGAGCGCCAATTACCCGAGTACAGAGAATACCGTCGACCGTACAGCGCATGGCAAACGGCGTTTACCTATACCACCGGCGATTACCCAAATCCAGTAGTGTACCCGTGAGCGAGTGACGTAGTGCTAACTCTGTTTAGGCGCCTTTTTCGAGGGAACGCACGGATATTCGAATGCTTCGGTCCATCAACAAAGAACTGTTATACATATATTCGTATATTCAGTACACTAGTATGTGCCATGATTTTTGTACGTGCGTCAGAAAGTAGTCTAAAAGATGTCAATTTGAAAACCAAAAAAATATGCCTTCCCGAAAACATTTTTTTCATTACTTGAGTTTCAATTTAATATTTAATAAAATTCCTCTTGACAATTGCTGACAATCAGCTGCTCCAACTTCGGTCGGTTCGGCTCGAGTACCTTCGCCTCCCCTCGTCACGCCCCGAGCGAGGTATTAGTCGACCGAGGGATCGGTCCGCAAGCTTGTCGGACGATAAGCGCCGAGATATATGGACCTCGTTATGTCCTTTCCCGCTTCTATTACTTGCACCACTTTTCTTTCCCTCCTGCCTCGACTCACCACGCCTCAACTCCTGGTTGCGCACACAGATGCACACGCACGAGACACAGTCGAGCGGCCCCCTCGAATTTCGTCTCCACTTTCCAGTGGTAATGAACCATCGAACGAACCGGCGCAAAACCAAACTGTTTCGCAAAGCCAGCACGGAGTCACAAAGCTGCTAGCCGCGAGGACGTGGCCATCCGATCGGCGGCGAATCGATTCATGCCGAATCTGAACCTGGGGACGTCGTCTTGTTCCCAAATAACGAACACAGATATTGCCGGGTGTACTGTTGGTAAATTTTGCCTAGCGAGGACGGGAAGCCTCATGTCAACGGACTCGGTTCAACAATGTCCCTCGTCAAATAACGCTTGGCGTTCGCATTTCTGCCATTTCACGGACCCAGACATTTTCATGACTATTATTATTATTCCGGACAGGACGGGTTGGAACGAATCACGACGATTGTCCCTCACCCGGCGCCCTCACTGATTGGAGCAGCGGACGAACACCAATTCAGATTTTTCAGAGCGGACTAACAGAGCCACGACTTTCCTTTAGCTCTCTCTCTCTCTCTCTCTCTCTCTCTCTCTCTCTCTCTCTCTCTCTCTCTCTCTCTTCCTCTTCCTCTTCCTCTTCCTCTTCCACTTGCCTCATCCTCGATCTTTTACTTGATTATGACTCATAAGTCAGTCTTTTATATGTTTGTATCTTATTCAATTTCTCATTGGACCCTGTGCTCCTTGTGCATACGTATTCAATGAATACCAAAGCATACGGGAGTTCTTTAATTTTTCATCACCTCCATTGTGCACTAACGGCAGGTATCGTTTTTCCCAGTAATTTTGTCGCTTGTTCGCTTTGAGTTGGAAGTGAAAGAAATAAGTTAGCGACATTTGTTATCTCTGTTTAAACCTCAGTCGGTGGAAGACAGTGATTCAGAGAAATCTAACATAATCGACGTTTCTTAAAGCCGCATAAGTAAAGAGTGTTTATTTTATAAGAATGCCATTCGTGTAGTTTTTATACGCAAAGTGAATGAGACCATGAATGAATGACGAATGGAAAAATTGACGTACAAGTGGCTCCATCGTAAGAGCTATGAGGAAACAAGCTATTGCACAATCAGGAGTTTCTAGAATTCCAGCGACCTCTCCGCCGGCATGCTGCTGGATGATGAAAGTTTTCGTGCGACTTTCCGCGTGAAGATTCGCTTTCCTGCACCGCGATTTCTCATGTGATTTGCGCGACAGTCAATGTGAGTGAAGTGTAAATCATCATTTCGGTGTAATATGCATTATTTAGATGTCTCGTTGTTAGTATTCCCGAATTTTACTTAATCTAGTCTAGTCGTAGTCTAACCTAACTTTTTGGGACGACAGCATACAACTTGATTCTCACGTGTTGCCTAAAAGGGCTTACCGGCCTTTTACGTATCTTCGATTTTGTGTATCGCGCGTTTCTTTGAACCATATATAATGTATTCTTCATTTCTTCAACGTAGTCTTTTCCTTTGAAGTAAATTTTCATTCATGTTTCCCTGTAAATCTCTTGTAACTCATAATCCGGTTTTATTTATACTTTTTGCATATTTAAAGCATTTTCACTAAAATTCTTGTATGATCCAGCAGAATCATATCTCATTGGATAGCAATGCATGTAATGATAGCTGTCTATTTGGAGCAAATATTTCTTTATCTGCTTATATAACTTCCAGTACTTGAATGTGTTGTAATTAAACCTTCTTACTTACAGAGAGCTGCCAGGAAATCCTGATCGCAAGATAAGTCTAATATTTCTGAAGAAGCATGTTGTACAGTCTGTGAAGGAATTATTTGGTGAAGAAGGAATCAAGTGTACCATAGACATTTTAAAGTACAATATCTCAGAACGTAGATTTATATTACGTTGTGAATTAAATGATTATGTGCGACTGAGAGCAGCTTTAACTCTTGCAACGAAATACGAGGAAGATACTTGTAGCTATACTGTGCATCGAGCATCTCCAAACTTATTATCCTTCACTGCAAATAGCAGATCGTATGTGCACTAGGTCAGAATTAACATTACGGACAAGTATTACGAGTTGCAATTCGTAATTCTTTTCAAATCTAGATTAACTCTAAAGTTGGAATCACAAGTGTAAACACAGGAAAAGAGCTTTTGAGACCATCATAAAGTGTTCATAAATTTCGTTTTATTGCAAATCATAAGGAAAACCAGATATGCCCCTAACAAAACAGGAAGGCAAAGATACAATAATTTTTGCTTCTAAAGAAGATCATGCAACACCAAGCAAAGTGGATTTACCAGAACCTGAACCTAGTCCAGGACTGATATTACCAAATGGGGAAATAAACTGGAACTGTCCATGTCTAGGTGGAATGGCCACTGGACCTTGTGGCCTGGAATTCCGCGAAGCATTTTCCTGCTTTCATTATTCCGCTGCTGAACCAAAGGGATCTGATTGTTACGAGGCCTTCAGAACCATGCAGGCCTGCATGTCGGAATACCCTGCTCTTTATGGGAACAAGGATACAGACTTGGATGACCTTGATGATGAAAATGCTAATGCTATAAGTAATGATAAGGGGAAATCATCAGCAGATGAAACTCACAAGAGAAAGGAAGTTACAATGGATACAGCTTCGACTACCACAAATAATGAAGATAGACCAGAGACATCAAGTAGTAAAAAAGAGGTAGAACAAGCTAAGGATAAATGAATTATATATAAAAAAATGTGTCCAGTTTTATTGTATAACTTTTGCCACTTGTAGTATCTATTATTCGATGCCAAGCGAAATTGGTTTTCAAAGGCCTTAACAGGATTTTGTTTCCATCTGGATTTGTGTTATTAAAATACGTTAATTTTCGTGAAAAATATTCCTTCACTTAAAATGCCAACGAAGGATAAACGAATATCGTTATCGTCGAATATTATTATTATCATATAACCAATTTCTAATTCCTGATTTATGCTTCAATAGTTATTGCGAGAAGGATGTTCCAATTTGTGTTAGAAGACATGAGTCTCAAGAAAATGAGAATCCTTAACCTAAACCCTTAACATGCATTCGGCTTTTTACAAAATTTCGTCGTTATTTTTTAATTCCTCAAAGCAAATCAATTAGCAACATTCTCAGCACTGCATTTAATGTATATGCACAAGATGATTCGAAGGATTCTAAGCCATGAATATTATCAATTCTTTTCCCAGTGATTTAAGTATCAAAGACTGACGGGAATGATTTAAATATTCATGTAAGCACAATTCTTCAAATCGTCTGACACTGCATGAATAAAGGCATTTGTATATACTTACGTGTCGAGTCGATATTCATAACAGGAACTTAACATTCTTGCAAAACTTCCGCTAAGAATACTGACATTTGAAACTATTTCATCCTTTGCTTTTATGGCGATTATTTTTTTTAGTTGCAAGAAAAGACATGAAATAGAAATTAATGATAGAACTATAGTTGTAATCATCTAATATTTCCGATATCGTGCCATGTTCGTAACAAAACATGAATTCTGTTAAGCTATTTAAATTTGATTTGTTCCCTATTAAAATTGACTAGTAATATAACAATAAGCGGATAAGTTTTTAAGTGCTTCTCAAATTTTTTGGGGAAAAAAAATTAATATGGTGAGCTCAACAGTCAGAGACTGCGACGACTTTCGTAAGCGAATAAGAAGACTATAGTGTATAACGTGTTGTTTTTCTTAAGTGTGTTTTCAGGGGTGCCTTCAGAAATCTTATTCAGGGTAGTTCGAGCACATTGCATCTTTTTTTTATTATCGGTATTATAAAACGGATAATGATATTAGAATCGACTCTGGAAAGATTTCTGAACGTACTCCAGTAGAGAGATACACAGTCTTTTTAATCTCATTGTTAGAAGAGGCCGATTTCATTTTTAATATTATAATAATTTACGAGTATGTATCAATGGCATATTTGTTGTTTTAGAACTGCAACTAATGTATCGTTCACCGATAAGAATGAGAACGAAAAATACTGTGATAGGTCCAGGAAAATCATTTAGGATTCAACGCGAAGTCAATTGAGAGCAAAGATGCTGCAAAAATCGTTGGCTAAGAGGCGCCGCAAACAAGTAAATCATAAGAAGTAGCGGATACAATTTAGTCGGTCTGATCGTCCTGTTCCGAAAATTTTGAAACTCAGACTCTAAATTAGTAAAAAATTTTCGATTTCAACATGTTAGCCGATCAGGGCTTTCATTTTTCAGTTGTACGGCTCGTACAATTGATCGAGAAACCTTGTCAAAAGTGTAAAACTCCAGATGAAGCACAAAGCAGAAATTATAAAGGAGAGCAGGAGTCGGTAAGTAAGGGATTTGCATGAGAAAATGGATAACCGAGTATGAAAAATTGCCAGTAGTGGCGCAGTCGTCGCTACTGGCTGTTGGCATCGACTGACATCAGCTGTCTCGAGATTTTAAGTTCCGTAAGTGGTACCATGAGTGGCAGCACTACTACCACTACTAGCACCACACAAGACTGGCATTCTCGTTCGTTCGTGCATCAAGCATCAACCAGCATGTATTTCTATGTTACACCGTTAACAAATTCAAAAAGAGCGACAGTGTCGTAGCTGATAAAAAATAAACGTGCTTTTTGTGGTGAAGTAACGTGTGCTGTCAGGAGTTTAGGGTGATTCTCGTAGTTGTTGCTGAAGACGATTCACGAGTAAAAAAGTGCGCGGAGTGCACACTGGATACGTTCCTTGGCAGTGACCGAGAGTGTCTTAGGGTGCTTCGAAGCTTGTGCGATTTTCTCGCCTCACGACGACAATGGAGACGAAAAAGATAAAGCCGAAGGAGAAGCGAAGGTGAGTAATTCTATAGTATAAGATAGGAGAAAGCAGACGGAGTGCGTGTCCAACCAATGAGGGTCACTGACAACGGGACTGGGCTTTACTGTCTCACTGCACATGGCATCTAAGTTTGGTGCAGTTACAGTGATACGTCGCAATGTTCTTTCACGCAAGAGTGATGCCTCTGATATTGTTGCACAACTTTTGCCCCAATTTTGAAGGATTGGTCAATGACGCAACGGTGTCCCCTTTGGAGTTGGTATCGCGCTTCTCTCTCTCTCTCTCTCTCTCTCTCTCGCGCGCACGAATATGTGCGCTCTTCCTCTTTCTTTTTCTCGCTCTCCATTTGGCTTCCAGAGGCGAATGTGTTCGTGCTTTCCTACTGCTGTATTGGTGCCCGCGCGATACGTTTTGCCTTGCCGGCGAATGTTTTCCGGACAGATAGTGCATTCTCAACCAAATGCTTCTGCTTCTGACGCACATACGTATGTCCTGCAAAGAAAAAGAGCGTTAACAAGAAGAGACATGCTATTTACCCGCATTTTCCTATCTCTTCTATCATTTTGTCGCCTTTGCTTTCCTCTCAATCGATTCGAACCTCGCAGGATGTATCGATAAATGAATGACGCTCGTCGCTAGCGTCCGTGTGCCACTTTGAAAATAACGAGGAGAGACGAGGGCAGCGATAATGCGGCTTCTGACCCGAGCATGATGCGTTTTCTTTCATTTTTGTAGTTACAGCAGCGTCGATTCCTGGTGTTGTTACCTTCTTTTCTTTTTCTTTTCCAATAAATTGCACACTCTACAATGTCCAATATGTATAATGTTCCAATGTTGGACTGTATGTAACGACGTGACAACTTGTGTCCCATCACTGTGGAAGTCTCGGGCGCTTTTGCTTTATGCTTTTTAATATATAAAAATACATTTAACGAGGTCAACCATTTTATTGCAAGTTATAAAACATCACTTGTTTTTCTTACCAATGTGGCCATTGTGCACTTAACTGATATTTTGTATTCTAACTACCAGCATTCTTGTCTCTCGTTTCTAATTTGAAGGTTCGATATGATGCAATTTTACTCGCCCCCCCCCCCCTTCTGCCGGCCTTCACCTTAATGATTACGATTGTTTTATTCTTTTTTTTTTTCATATATTTTTCTTCAGATAAGTCTTCCTTCAATTGAATCCTCATCATGTATCATATACAAATATAACTATTATAGTTTTACTTTAGTGAAAATTAATCAAACTGATTTAAGTCCTTCCTAGTTTGAAGAATTTGATTGGTTACTCTATGATCTGATTTATTGAAGAAATGCACTCGCCAGGCTACGTCTTACAATAATCGGAAGGCGAACTCTCTCCGCTCCAGGCGAATTTTTCTCAATATGCTTATGGAAAGTCATACATGAATCTTCATTCTTAAAATATACTCACCCGCTGCTTACTTCTTATTTCACTTTTCGTCTTACATTTTAACGAAAACTTCTGAAATATCCTATAAGTACTTGATCAAGAGCTTCGGGACTATTGATTAACAGCCGATATTTGTGATGTTTCCATCATATACCATCGTGGAAAGATATTTCGCCATTATTGAGTCTCGATTTCACGTTAGGCATTCGACGCCACTTCATGCTGATTATATCATGCGACATTTAATTTTAAGAAAATTTCAAGATACAAAAATAGTGATAGTCATAATTGAAAATCTATCAGTAATCCATTCCGTATCTAATCTAACAATTTTTTCTCGGAAAGTGGGAAAGAAAATAAGTGTGCATATAATACGTGACAATAATGTAAACTGTTACCCATATAATTATTATTCATTTGGTGTTATAGTATTACACAAATACGGTACATGATAAACATGGGTCAATGTATTCGTGTTCTGCTGCGTCAAGAGATTTGTCTTTGTGAAAAATAAAAGAAACGAATATCTGCAATAATTGTGCAAGCTCGTTTTCTTGTATCTCGGGGGGGGG